AATTTTTTTTAACTACTGCATTGTTAATTTAAAAAACAAAAATGAAAGACTTTTTCAAAGGTGTTTGCTACTAACACCAAGTTCAGAAACAACTGCTTCAAAGAGGAAATTCTCTGTTTGCCTGATCTGGGAGGCCAGCGCACTTAGGTGGTGATTTTCACTTACACAACTCGGATGGGGCCGCAGTCCCCTGGCCCTCACTGGGCCTGAGGTCAGCCACTCGCATCTTCCATCCAGAGCAGAGAAGCTGAACTGGAGAGGGAGACAGAAAGGCGCGGGCCGTGTTGGGACTGGAGTTCAGCCGAGGGGGCGCAGGCGGGCTCCACACCCCCAGCACCAGGGCAGCAAGAGGCTCTCAGAGTCATTGTGCCCTCGGGGCCCTGCTGTCGGTTTCCTCTCGGTGTTGTCTGTCTGCTGAGACCATGGGGCTCCATGCTAGCCTGGCCCCTGTCTCGTGGCTGCCTGCCACCCCAGCACTTTCTGGCCCTTTTCAACACAGAGCACTTCCTCTGTGCTGTGTACTGTTCTTGCTGCTGGGATTTCTGTCCTTCCCTGGTCCCCGGTCCCCATGAAGCACCCTGCAGCCATGGGTAGGATGATGAAGGGGGAAGCACAGGGAGCTATGGCCCCCTAACAGGAGTTCCTACCCAAATGTGGGGTCAAAAGAGGCCTCCTGCCGGGTGTGGTGGCGCATGTCCATAATTCCGGCACTTGAGAGGCTGAGGCAGGAGGTTCACCCTGAGTTTCAAGGCCAGCCAGGGCTACATAGTCAGTTCAAGGCCAGCCTAAATTACACAGACCCTATCTCGAAACAAGTAAAAAAAAGGCTTCCTATCCCAGCACTAGGGAGGCTGAGGCAGGAGGATCCCAAGTTCAAGGTCAGCATGGGTAATTTAGCAATTTAACAAGACCCCGTCTCAAAAGGTCTGAGCCGGGCTTTGGTGGCACATGCCTGTAATCCCAGCACTGGGGAGGCTGAGGCAGGAGGATCACTGTGTGTTCAAGACCAGCCTGGGCTACATAGTGAGTTCCAGATCAGTCTCAACTACATAGTGAGACCCTGTCTCAAAAACAACAAAAAAAGGGCTGGATATGTAGTTTAGTGTAAAGATCCTGGATTCATGCCAGGGATTTGGCCCAGTGGTTCCACCGCCTGCTTCGCAAGCACAAGGGCCCAAGTTCAATCCCCAGTAACAAAAAAAAAATAATAATCATGGATTCCATCTCAAGTACCATAAAAATAAATACATTTTAAAAGAAAGTCTTCCTGGAGAAAAACATGCCTGTGTCTTCCCCAGAAGGATGAACAGCAGTGAGAGAGAACAGAGCCCCAGGAGGGAGGCACTGTGACAGCGGTCAGGCAGTGAGGAGCCCAGGAGGAGCTGCCTCACACTCTGTGCTGCAGCATAGGACACTGCCAAGAGGGAGCTGGGAGCACAGGCCTGCGGCTGGGTCAGGAAAAGAGGCTGCAAACCTGCCAAGCATGAGTTTGAGGCCAGGGTCCTGGGACACCCACAAAGGGCAAGCCCAGTGGTGACACAAGTACAGTGGCCAGTGTGAATGACTGATCCAGCTCTGTTCATTGCTGCTCTTGGTAAACAGCTGCTGGCGCAAACAACCCCACCAGTGTCTCCCCCAGTCACTCTGGCCACTCTGGGAAAGCCTGGAAGGCCCCATGGTCCACTGTGTAGCACCAGTATTGGCCCCCAGGGTTGTCATGAGGTCTCGTGTATGTAAAATTCAGCCTGTTTAGCTGGAGAAGGCAGTACATGGCTGAAATCCCAGCACTAGGGAGGCTGAGGCAGGAGGATCACCATGAGTTGAGGCCAGCCTGGAATACATAGCGAGACCCTGTCTCAAAAACAAAAGTTTAGCCTGGTATCTAAGCGCATATTACTAACCCTTAATGAATGTTACATGTTAGTGACACCAAGGCAATTTCAGGAACAATCAGAGCAGAGCCGGCTCCCCAAAGAGAAGTCCTACAATCTAAACCTCCCCAACTCCTGCCTGCGGCCCTCAGTTCAGGACATAGGGAATGGTGCCCTCTGCTGGCCACCATGGGAACTTCAGGGACCTCTGGGGAAAACACGCGTGCCACTGACCCTGGGGCTGCAGGCTGGCTGGGGAATACAGTGTAAGTAAATGTTCATTGCGGCTTCCAACCAGAGTGGAGTACAAGGGCCAGATGTACTCACCGACATGAACAAGTGCTTTTCAGAAACCGGACACCAGGCAGTGCAGGGCAGTGAGCTCTGGGACAAAAGAAATAAGCGAGGAGAACCTAGCACTGCCCAAATGGGCTTGAACTTGGAACCATCCTGCCAGAGTCTCCCAAAGTGCCGGGATTATAGGTGTGCACCACCACACCTAATATTTTTTTTAAATAGGAAGATACAGGGTCCAGAGATTTAGCTCAGTGGTTCTGCCACCTGCCTTGCAAGTTCAAGGACCCAAGTTCGATCCCCGGTACCAAAAATAAATAAATAAATAAAATAGAAAGACACTGCATGTAGCTGCACCCTCCTGTAATCATAGCACTTTGGAGGCTGAGGCAGGAGAATCTCCACAAGTTTGAGGCCAGCCTGGGCTACATAGTGAGTTCCAGATCAGTCTCAACTACATAGTGAGATCCTGTCGCAAAAAATCAAGAAACAAAACCAAGAAACAATAAGGGAAATTGAACTCTGTACTATCATGAACTTTCTATAAACCTACAAAATGATTCTAAACTATAAGCAGCTCACTGAAACAGTATGTGGCAGCATATCCTCATAGCCCTAGCCACTCAGGAGGCTGAGGCAGAAAGATCACTCGAACTGAGTGCAAGACCACCCTGAGGAACATAGCAAGATTCCCTCTCAGAGACAGGGTAAGCTTATATATTCTATATAGTAACATATTAGCTTTATCTAATATATAAACAAAAACACAAAGGAATGCTGTTTCCAGGTGTGCTGACGACCACCAAACAAGAGGCTGTCATACCAAGCGGGGCTGGGAGGATAGGCCATGGCCACAGCAAGGTGACAGCACCTAGGGCCCAGGCAGGCACCCAGAATGGTGTGTTCACTGCCTCCCGGAGCTGTACTGAATGATCACAAACTTAGAGGCTTAAAACGCAAGTTTATTATCTTACAGTTCTCCAGGCCAGAACACAAAATGGCTTCATGGGGCCGTAGCACATCAAGGGCTGCATTTCTTCGCGGGCCTCTGGGGAAGACGCTGTTCCTGCCTCTCCCAGCCTCTCCGGGCCAGCTGCATCGCCGGCACATGCTGCCCTCCATCTGCTTAGCCTGCGCTGTGAAGCCCTCCCTCCCACTCCCACTGGAAGGCGCTGGGCCACCTGAGCACCAGCCACCTCCCCTCCACTTTCTTGCCCGTGTGACGGCTCCTTCGCCCTGGAAGGCAGCTTCCACAGGTGCCAGGGCTCAGCATGGGGCACCATTCAGGAGGAAGCTGTGCAGGGAAGGTTGGTTCTGGGGTGCTTGTGAACTGCTCACGGCAAGACAGCCACGGAGGCCTGCTTTCCACCTCGGGGCATTTCTGGAATTGAGTGCATTTTTAACTCACAACATCTTAACAACTAACTTAGCAGGCTTCTCTGTGAGTCAGGCACCTTACCACTGATGGCTTCTTGGAATGAAGTTCTGGTGAGGGCCTGCGCTAGAGTAGAGTGGGCCTAGTTTTGTTTTGGTACCAGAAATTGAATTCAGGACACTACTCGTGAGGCAGGTGCGGTGCCACTGAGCTAAATCTCCGGACCTAGAGTGGACCTAATTGTAACAGAAATTGGAGGCCTCACGGAAGGGTCAAGAAAGCCCGCCTGGCCCGGGCCTTGGCTTCCCTAGGTCCCACCTTGGCCCATGAGGAATGGACTCGCCAGAGCCACACGCCTTCCTGGCGGGGCCTGGAAACGCCCCTCTCCAGATGTGCCAGTCATGGGACTCAGCCAGCTGCACATAAGAAACACCCAGGGAGACCCATCGCCCTGGCTAGAGCCCATTCAATCAGAATCCTGAAGACTTCACATTTCCCTGGGAGATTCTCACAGTAGGCAGGACGCAGAAGTGGAAGAATCCCTCTAAGTTGGTGCAGGGAAGGTGAGATGTAGGGAGCTGGTGGAGTAGTTGGGTGCACACTGTAGGTTACACCTGTTTGCCTCCTGCGCCCCTCCGTCTGACTCAGGCTTCTTGAGGTGGACCAGCCCAGTTAGTTGTCTGTTCTCTCAAGGACCTGGGCCTGCGCCAGACGCACACGGGAGCCTCAAGGAGCAAACAGCAAAGGCTTTATGCCAAGAAAGCTCTGGGCTTCCACATGAAACTTAGCAAAATAAAGGCATTGCTCTCTACACAAGGGGAAAAAAAAGAAAAAAGAAAAAGATAGGTCCGGGCAAGGAGCCCACTGGGCCTGGGCCAGCGCTGATTCGCTGGGTGACCTGCACAAACACTCCCCGCAGCGCCAGACAGGGCACAGCTGCCCACGCAGGCTTGGACGGCCCTCCAAGTAGCAACACCCAGGGCCATGGGAACTGCTGCCCAGGACAGGGAGGAACAGATTAGGGAGACACCGGACCTAAGACTGTGTGGGACTCGGGAGAACCTTGGCCCACCCACCCCTGCTCACCCTCACCAGGGTCCCCAAAAGATGTTCCGGTCCTTCCAGATGTAAAATCTCCACTTCTGCTGTACCCCAGGTGCAAGGTCAGAGGATCTGAGACCCTGAAAGTCAAAACCTAAGAGCAGCAGAACAAGAGTACCCAGAGAAGACTAAGGGGGAGGGTGTGAAGGAGGGATTCCACACAGCCACAGGCATCCAGGCAGAGAGGACAGAGGACACATGACAGGCCCTGGCCACACCACTGAGGGTGGAAAACCAAGGCGAGGCAGTCCAAGACACCCGAGAGAATCTGCAAGAAGGAACTTCATGGCAGCGAAGTCAAAGACTGAGGGCTGCAGAGCAGGCCCCTCAATTCTGGCTATCAGCACAGCCAAAAGCCCTAACCCACAACCAGGCTTTTATTGGGAAAAGGGAAACGGGTTGAAAAGTGGCCTGAGGCAACGGGGGGCCCCCACCAAAAGTCCAGGAAAGTAGAGGCTGCCAAATCGGGCGCACAGCAGGCTCAGGTGTAGAGGTCAAAGTCAATGCGTTTCGAGTTGTAGAACTGACCACCAGGAGGGTCCAGCTTCCGGCAGTAAACACCATCTGGGAAGTAGCCTTCACTCACCCAGGTCTGCAGGAAGAGAGGGCAGAACGGGAGATGATGACGGGAGACGGGCGGGAAGGGACAAGGCAGGAGGAAGCAGCAAGGGCTTACCTGCATCTGGGCACTGGTGAAAGGCCCGTACAGCTCAGCATCCCCTGTGTTCTCCCACTTATATTCCCACATCACATCCACCAAACCATCTCCCGGTGACTCTGCATCTAAAATGACAGGGAGCCGGGGATGTAGCTCAGTGGCACCACGCCTGCCTCGCAAGCGCAAGGTCCCGAGCTGGAACCTCAGTACACCCCCAAAAATATATTAAAAACAGGCAAAGCCATCTGGGCCTCCAGTGCCCCGCCTCCTTCCCATAGCACCCCTCCTCTACCCTCTGAGCTCACCTTCTCTCTGTGCAGGGGTCGGGGTCTCCAGCTCTTCCTCCGCTACTTCCTCAGCAAACATATCCAGGGAGGGTGGAGGTGTGGGATCCTGGGGTCCCTGGGTTCGGCAGCCCAAACCCTTTAGCCGCATAGCCAACCGTTCCCTGGTCTCCTGGTATACACCAAGGTTGCCTCGGGCCACCATCTGGTCAGCCAATCCAGAGAGCCGGTCCAGGCGCTGGGGGGAACTCGGCCGCCTTGGCCCCTTGCTACCCTCTTTGCCTCCTCCTCGGGCTCCCAGACGCCTCAGAGCTCCAGCTACTGTCTCTCTCGGCAACAACAGCTCCACAAGTCCCTGGAGGAGGGCTTGGGGACTCATGGGTGTCTGGCCCAAGCTATCCTCCTCCTCCTCCTCTGAAGCCTGTTGTGCATCAGGTGGCCGCTCCTTGATCTTCACCTGCAGTGGGAGGACAGGACAATTACTTCCCTCAAACTGGCACAGGGACCCAGCCTGGCACTCACCACCCCCAGGCCTCACCCAGTCAATGTTGTCCAGCCAGCTGTCTCGGATCTGAGCACCGCGGTTCAGGAAGTAGTTGCCATCAGCATCAAAGTGGCCTTCCTCCATCTCTTCCTGAAGGTTGAAGGGTGTAATTCGCACACCCCCCTCACTGGGAAGTGTGGCCGCTTCCTGACCTGCAAAGACATGGCCTCCCCTGCTAGGCCTGCAGGCAGACAGGAGCCTCCTGAGCTCCACACCCTGAGGGCCCACCTGACCCTCCAGCAGGGCAATGCGTAGCTCACCTTCCACATCCTCTGAGGCCAGGATGTCGTATTTGCTGGATCCCTCCTCCTCCTCATCATCCTCCTCATCGCTGTCCAGAGAGTGTTTGCCTTTGAAGCGGCTACCTGGACCCCCAGCCACAGAATCTACCAGCTACACAAAGAAACCAGCATATGAGAAATGCAGATTACTAGGTCTTCCCCAAAATACTCCAGGACATAGACCCAAACTAAAAATCTTGTGGATCTTTTGTTTTGTTTTGTTTTTTTGAGCCAGTCTCACTTCGTTGGGCCAGGATTTAGCTCAGTGGTTCCACTGCCCATCTCGCAAGGTCCCAAATTCATTTCCCGGTACCAAAAAAAACAAACAAACCAAGAATAGTCTCACTTTGAAATTCAGGCTGGCCTTGAACTCACCGCGATCCTCCTGCCTCGGCCTCCCTAGTGGTGGGATTACAGGGGCACCGCACCACACCCAGTACCAAAGTAAAAAAATCTTACAAGCCCATTCCTCAGAAAAAAACTGACCCTTTCTCTGCCCCTCCCTCTTCCTTTAAAGCTTCTAGGTTCTTTCCCCTCACTCTCAAAATAAAGGAGTCTACCCTCACCTTCTTCTTGGGGACACTGACTTCATCCTCATCATCCTCATCTCCCACGCCTTGGAAGGTCACTTTCCTCTTTGGCATGACTGGCCAGAGGTGTCTTCCTCAAGCTGGGCCCAGGAAAAGGATGCAGAATTAAGGAAACTGGGTGAGGAGGGACTCATGGGAAAGGGCTGCTAGCACAACAAAGACTTTTCCTGGTATGTGTCAGGTCCAGTTTGGGAGCGGAGTTAGCAGAGAATCGGGTTGAAAGGGCAGCTGGCCGCCTGGACGTCCCCTGCGCTGAGTCTGGCACCTGAGAGTTAATGACGTGGGGGGAGAGGGGTGGATGCGCGAAGGAGGCCCCCGTGGACACCCACCCTGGAGGAAACGCTTTCCTACGCGATCAGCCCCACACGCGCCGAGGTGACGGGGCTGGGCGGGCTGACACCGCCGCCCAGCCCCCGCGCCCTCAGAGCCCGCAGGGCCAGGACGGCTCTAGGACCTGGCGCCCTGGCCGAGCAGCTCATCCTCGCGCCCAACTCATAATTCAATGTAGTAACCCCTCGCCAACTGTACTGAGCTTTGTATACAAATTAGGGAAAGCAAAAGGGCCACAGCGATGTGGACACTCCTACCCGCGCGCTCACCTGGGGATGCAGGAAGAGGCGGGGAAGAAAGGGAAAGACACTTTCCCTAGGGCTACATCCGGGGCATCCGGCTGCCATCACCCGGAAGAGGTCTGCCGAAGGCGCTAGGGAAGCCGGAAGTCGCTTCACTCCTGCCAGGGGACTGACGATGAGAACCGGCGGAAATACACAAGAACGAGTGAAGACTTTTCCTTAGCGGGAAGTGACGTAAGACCGTGGCGCTACGAAGATCAGAAAGGTGGCATATGAAGGCGTAGATTCTGACAGAGTGCGGAAATAGCTGTGTTTCCTCGTACTACAGTAAAGGCTCTGAGCCGGGCGTGGTGGCGCTCGCCTGTAATCCCAGCACTCGGGAGGCTGAGGCAGGAGGATCGCTGTGAGTTTGAGACCAGCCTGGGGTATACAGTGAATTCCAGGTCAGTCTCAACTACATAGTGAGACCCTGTCTCAACCCCTCCCCCAGAAAAAGGCTCTGGGGGAACGTGGAGTGTATTGTACTAAAAAAGGGCTCCTAGGGTCGGGATAGAAGGCAGAGTCCATGCGGGGCTGGTGGTTTTTCTGCCCGCTTTACAGGCAGAGTTCGAGTTGCCCTATTCCCCAGGATTGGCCCAGGGCTTGGAGCCTCTCACCATTTCATTAGTAATCCTGTCTGCCGCCTCCAGTCCTCAAGTGGTCAGCTCCCTTCTAGTCGAGAAAGTAAACCCCTGCTTTCCTAATGGCCCACCTGGCGGATGGGGGACTGACCATCTATCTAGGGCGCTTTTGAAACTAGTTCCCTTTAGGACCCAGGAGAGATCGTTTGTCCCACGCCTGTTTCTGGGCTAGCTCCCGTTTTCTGAGGCTGGAGAGCCATCCCTGGAGAGGTGGCATTGGCACCGGTGCCAGTACGCAGACCACACACTCCTCGCACCCCACGTTCAGGTGACTATAAGAGGGCAACGGTGTGCCTCGAACTATAGCTGCAGGACGATGCCCACTCTTTGGCAAACAGGGACCCCTTCTCCGGGTGACGAAGTCTGGCCCGGCAGAGGTGGGAGGGACCCTGGTCCCGGCTTTGACTGTACCTGTGTCTCCTGAGAACCCTTGGTGCCTGAATTTCCCAGGCCAAGACTGCCCAGGCGGCGCCTGCAGGAGTTATGAGGGCAGCCGGCTGACCCCCACCCCCCACCCCCAACTAGACGGGCCACTTTTCTCCCCAGGCTTTCTTCCCGTCCGGGACTACCATGAAGCTGCACCGGAAGTCGGTGCTCAGTTTCTTTCATGGGTGCGGAACACAGGCGCCAGACCAGGAGGGCATCTTGCTGAAGAAAGGAGCCTGCAACACCACCTACCAGCGCCGCTGGTTCATCCTTCGGGGAAACCTTTTCTACCTGGAACACCAGGCAGACCGCACCCCTCTGGGACTCATTCTGTTGGAGAACAGCCAGGGGGAGCCCTGCTGTAAGGCCAAGGCTCCCCAAGCCTTCACCATCTGGACTCCTGGGCTGGGGGGCATGGGTGAGCCGGCCCATAAGCTGGCTGCAGAGAACCAGAAGAGCTGAGGGCTTGGCTGTGTGCACTGGCTGGGGTGTGCTGGACTAGGCTGGCTGTGCTGCTGCACCCTCTGGCAGCCCAGTACTGGGAGCTGTGCCAAGCAGCTGGCCAAGAGCCCAGCCCTCCCCGAAAGACTGTGGCTTTCTAGTCACTCTCAGTCCCACATCCAGCTTCCAAGAGTTGCATGAGCGTTTTGGAAAGGAGATGCGGGCACTGTTAGCAGTGAATAGAGGGCTCCAGGGGACCAGTGACCATAGAGGCAGCAGATCTCAGGCAAAGATGGAACAAGAATTCAACCAGGAATTGATGAGTGACTGAGGGATGGATTGGCCAGGCATGGGGGCACACAGGTTCTGACACTCAAGAGGCTGAGGCAGGAGGATCAACAGCTAACGGCCATCTAGGGGTAGAGTTCAGGGCCAGCCTGAACTACAAAGCAAGACCCTGTCTCAACCCTGCCCCCCAATAGGGGAGATGGACCAAGGGCGGAGATCATCTAGCTGCCAGTCATCAGACTGCTTCAACAGAGCCCCAGACCAGGGCTCTCCCTGCCTAGTTCTTACCCCCAGGTCCCTCCTCAAATAACAAGGCAAGAAACAGACCCAGGCACAACAGCAGGTTCTTTTTCTGGTTCCTCAAAGCGCTGTACAGAATGGGGCTGACAAGACAATGTAAACATCAGATTCCACCCCTGGAGCTCAGGAAAAGACTCCTTACTCAAGAGGGCTTGGGGTTGACAGGGAAGGAGAGGAACGGTCGGGGAGCTGGTGAGACAGAGCAGGAGGCCTGAGAACACAGAGCAAGATGGATGCACAAGGAGACTGGGAGGAGGATGGGAGGAGAAGTGGGGCACATTTCCTGTTTCAGTGCGTGTCCCCTTAAATAAATCGGAGGGCAGGAATACTGGGAGGAGAACCAAAACAGCGAGCACCCCACCATGGCCAGCCTGGTCCTCTATGTAATTACAACACAGATGTCCAGAAGTACAGCAAGGAAAGCTTTAGCCTTCAGGACAGGGGGACCAGGAAGGGCCACAGAAGGGAAAAGGAACCCAGCTCCACCTGTGGATAAACAGAGCCACTGGAGTGTAATAATCTGCAGACTGCCGTTGCCAAGTCACCTGGTGACAAGAGGCCAATCAGGACAGCACCTGGGAGGGGGCCTCAGCTGGGCCTCACTGGAGGCCAGGAGCCCCAGACTCAGGCACGGCTGCCCCCTGCACTGTAGCTGTCCTGGCCGTGTAGGGAAGAGCAGCTGGCAAGGAGATGGGAAATCAAGCCACTTTCCTCCATGAGGGACCGCCTGCCAGGGGAGCACCCTGAGCCAGGCCTTCTCTTGGCTGAGGGAAGAGAGGAGGCCACACAGTCCAGCCCAAGGCAGAGGTCAAAAGTAAGCGTCCTGCCGGGCCTCAGCTGCCGAGGACCTATCCCCACCATCATGGGGTGCTGGGGGCCCATCTGCCTTTCGATGCAAGGAGAGCTTCCGGCCTTGGCCCTTCTTCTCCTGCCTCTGCCGCTCCTTCTCCTGCCTCTCCCGCTCTTTCTCCTGCTTCTGCCGCTCCTTCTGCCGCTCCTTCTCCTGCTTCTGCTGTTCTTTCTCTTTCTCTTTTTCCCACTTCTGCCGCTCCTTCTCCTGCCTCTCCCTCTCTTTCTCCTGCTTCTGCCGCTCTTTCTCCTGCTGCCGGGTCTCCTTGCTGGGACCCAGAGGGGTGCTATTGCCAGTAGGTGAGGGCAGAAATGGGCGCAGTCCCTCGGCAGTGACCACAGGCCCTGGAGCAGGGCCCACACTGGCTCTGCGGACAGGAGGGGGCGGTGAGGGGGCCCCTCCAGGTGCCCGGGAGCTTCGGCTTTTAAGGCCAGGGAGGCTGAGGAGGCTGGAGGAGGGGCCCAGGGGTGGCTGCTGCCGCCGTCGCTCCTCATGGATGGCCCGGGAGCCGTGCAGTCGCCGAGAGGGCCGATACTGCAGTTCGCCCCTCGTTTCCCGCCACTTCTTCAACTGGGCCGTATTCTCCCGTTCAATCAGGGCTTCTGTCACTGGTAGGTTGGTCACCTAGATGGAGAGGAAATCGGTACCAAGGTACAGAGCAGAGGGAATGGGCTGAGGCGGGTGGGGGTGGCCCAAGGCCTACCTCATGCACCAGGAAGTCCTCCTGCATGCACTGCTGGGGCAGGTTGCGCAGCTGCTCCATGGTCTCATACATGCCCTGGCAGGAACGCAGCTTCTCCACCGACCCCAGCGTGTGTCGCAGCAAGACCAGGGCCACCCGGAAGATGATCTTAACACCTGCGAGGATGGAAAGGCAAGCATGGGGGGATCGAGCTGGAGATCCTAAGCCCATCCCAGTTAGGTGGAAGCCCACAGCCCTTGTCCCTAACTACTGCCAACCTTACAGATGAGGAAACTGAGACCTCAGGGAGATAAATGAGTTGCTGTGGGTTTCAGGTGCCTGGGCAGGAGAGCAGGCTCTAGGTTGGTGGCTGAACTAAGACCAGGCCTGTTTTTCCTGCCTGTGGGCTGCTTACAGTGAAGCTCTAGCTCAAGAAATACTTCCTGTCCATGGCCACCATGGGCATCTCACCCTTGTGGCCCAGGGGCACAGAATACCTTCACAGAAAAACATGTCCCAGACACGCAGCACTGAGGCCCAGGGTAGGGTGCGGGCAAAGATGCACATGAACCACTCCGTCATGTAGAGCACAGGATCGATGCGCTGCCGCCGCAGGTGCCGATGTGCCAGTGGGGATGCCCGGCGCAGGAGTGCAAAGAAGATTTCTCCATCCAGCTGAATGGCCTCCTGGGGTGGGAAGAGCCACGAGAAGAGCACCGGCCGCTGTGGCCCCCAGAGTAGAATCAACCCTCAGAGGACCCTCACCTCCGTGGGGGAGGAGGCCTGGAGCAGAGGGGCCAGAGTGGGGGGGCAAGCACTCCCTGCAGCTTGCCAGAAAGTCAGTCCCAGTGCACCCACACCCCCAGACACTCACCAGCCCTGCGCTGTAGTAACCTGGAAGGTACTTGTCACAGATCTGTACCAGGCACCAAAAAGCTTGCTGAGAAGGGCAAGAACAAGGAGGGGCATGGCCTGAGAAGCAGGGAGCAGGCAGCTCCCCATCTCACTGCAGGCCAGGGCCCCCCACCTCCTCACCCACCCAGGACCCAGTGTGCTGACCTCGGCAGGCATGTGCATGAGCAGCACTGCAGCCACGGGGGCCTGGGCCTGGCAGTAGCCCTCATCAGGCCGGTAGATGGTGTAGGCCTTCAGGATGCGGTACAGGTCCTGCTGCCTGGGGATTACAGAAGTTGGCAAATGCACCAGTTGGGAGCCCGCTGCCTCACACCAAATCTGCCCCACAAGCCCAGCCCAGGCCTCACCAACATTCAGCTCCAAATTAAAAGGCATTTCCCCACCACACTCTTCTGTCTACCTTCACAGTCCTGCCTCAAGCTCAGGTGCAGTCAAAGCATCGCAGGCCTAGCCTAGTGCCTCCCTACCACAGGCCGCACCCTTTCCGGCCTTCATCTGCCACTGTCCCATAATCATGCAAAGCTCTCCAGGGAGCTTTCCCATCCTTGAACACCATCTGAACGTTATCGCCCCAGAGCAGCAGCTCTCCAGGGCAGGGCCTGCCTTTTCTGTCCCCTAGATCTCTTCGGCTCTGACCACCATGTCCGGTGGGTCCATGATCATCTCCACCGCAGACCTTTCCCTTGTCTTAGCCTCCAATCTCTGCCCTGGACCTGCTCTTCTGCTGCTGCTGCCTCACTGTATCGGGGGCTTCTATCCACTCGGCCCCACCTCAGAAAAAGTCTTCCTCGTTTCCCAGGCCTGATCTGCTACATCCTGAATTCCATTCCTGTCTGTTCTCTCCACCTCCACAGCCACTGCCAGCTCTGACCTCCATCTCTTGCCCAGAAAAACTTAATAACCACCCAGATCCTCTGCCTGCCTCCATTCTTGCAGATTCCTAACACTGCCTGTAATAGTTTTGCCCCAAATCCAATCAAGTGTGATCATTTGTATCTTATCTGCATTCAACTCCTACTATTATTTACATAATATTTTTCCTCCACTTTGCAAAAGCACCCTTGAAATGACAGGTTTGACACACTGGTTATTTTACCTAGTACATTTAAAATAAACATGTGACTTCCACGAGCTCCCACACTACATCCACCCACCTGCCTGCTTGTCTGTTGCTATGGGTGAACTGTTTGTGATACTGGCAGAGCGGAGTTCTGAGCCTTATGCCCACTCACCAACACAGGTCAGAGATCCAGCAGTCCTGCCCTCTTTTCTGCTTCAACTTTTCTCTCTCTACCAGATGGTTCCCATCAACACAGCAACATGTTGTTAATTCTTCGTTTTAAAAAAAAGGCCCTGAACCCCATTCTCCCCTCCAAATAAACAGCAGTTTCTTTTCCTCACCCCAGTAAGCACTAGCTGTCTTGAGTAGCCCACCCCATGCTGCCAAACTGCTGTGCTCAGTCACCGCTGCCCTCTTGAGGGTCCACAGCTCAAGCTCCAGGCCGCCACACCTGATCCCCAGCCAGGTTTCCCACCACTGAACTCTGACACCCTTCACCTCGCTCCCAGGACCACTCTCTGGTCTTCCTGCACCTTGCTAGAGCCTGTTCCAATCTGCTCCATCAGCCCCTGCTCAGCTTCCCATTCTCAAAACACCAGAGGTCCAGGGCTCAATCCTTGGCATCTATGCTTGCTGTGCCGGGGTTCTCATCCAGTCCCATGGGTTAAGTCCCTCCATATCTCCACTTCATCCCCAATTAAACTTCTGCTCTTGGGGCCAGGGATTTAGCTCAGTGGTGCTGCCACCTGCCTCACAGGCAAGGTCCTTAGTTCAATCCCCGGTACAAAAAAAAATAAAACTGCCCTGAAATTTAGATTTGTGTATATGATGCACCCCATATCTCCATCTGGGTGTCCAAAAAGCAATTTAAACTTTGGGGTTTTTGTTGTTGTTGTTGTTTGAGACAGGGTCTCACTTTGTAGTGAGACTGACCTGGGTCTTACTATGTAGCCCAGGCTGGTCTCGAACTCACAGCGATCCTCCTGCCTCAGCCTCCTGAGTGCTGGGATTACAGGCATGAGCCACCACGCTTGGCTTTCTTTCTTTCTTTTTTTTGGTAGCAGGGATCGAACTCGGGTGCTTGTGCTTGCGAGGCAGGCACCAGAACCACTGAGATAAACTCCCAGCCCCCAAGTTCTTGATATGTGCCCCAAGACTACCTTTCCCCCAGTCTTCCCCATCCATTATTAGTAAATAGCAACTCCATTCTTCTAGTTTCTCAGGTCAAAAACCTTAAAGTCACCTTTCATTCTTTTTTCACACTTCCCATCTAATCCATTAGCAAAATTTTGACTTTACCTTTAAAGAGATGGATCCAACTTCTCATACTTCCACTACTATACCATCTTATCTGTCATCATCTCTCCTTGATTTTAGTATCTTAACTTCTCCGGTTCTGCCCTTGTCTCCCTGTTTAACACACCAGCTAGAATAACCCCCTTGAGACATTAAGTCAAGCCAGGCATGGTGACACATGCCTACAATCCCAGCACTCTGGGAGGGTGAACAGGAAGATCACAACTTGAGTCCAGCCCAGTGTGAAGGCCCTGGGGTCAATCCCCAGTACCACAGGGATACACACACACCAGAGTCAGTTCTGATCATTTATAACCCATCCCATCCCCACAGACATTCTCTATCTCCTTTCTTGCTTTAAATTCCTCTTTAATACTCACCACCATTTCATATACATGATACTTTCCCTCATTATCTGACGTGTTACCGATCCTTACTGAACTGTAACAAACCCCATGAGGACAGGAGTTTCTGTCCTTGTTCACCACTGACATCTATGAATATACTGCCTGTCAGATAGCAGGTACTCAATAAACATTTGTTAAAAAATGAAATTATCACTGAGAAGGAGGATCACAAGTTTGAGGCAAGCCTCAGCAACTCAGCAAGACCCCATCTCAAAATAAACTCAAAAGGGTGGGCATGTATCTCAATGGTGGTAGAGCACTTGCCCAGCATGTGTGAGGCCCAGGTTCAATCCTCAGCACTGAAGAGAAACAAAGTCCACCTGAAAACTCCCTATGACCATCTTGCACGCTGCTGGGGAGCAGTGTACACTGCACATCTTGAGGAAACTCACCTATGTAACAGAAATTCAAGTGTTCTGGCACAGCATTTAAGAGATTGGCTCCTGGTGTTCTGGCCCTTAAACTTCCTATCAGCTCTACCCTATCTCACTGCCCAGAGACCACTTCCATAACCGCCCAGGCAGGACAACCCTGTCCAGCCCCTATCTGTTCTTCAGAAACCAGCTGAAACGCAGTGTCTTCATGAACCTTTGATGTGCCCGAGCACAAAACGACTCGAGTCTCCCTCCCAGGATGCTCAATCCATTAAAGATAACTCTTCTGCTAGGCATGGTAGCGCCTACCTATAATGTCAGCACTTGGGAGGCTGAGGCAGGAGGATCACTGAGTTCAAGGCCAGTCTGAACTACACAAGCAAGCCCTTGTCTCAAAAAACAAAAAGAGGGAATGGGTATTTAGCTCAGTGGCACCGCACCTGCCTCACAAGCACAAGGTCCTAAGTTCAATCCCTGGTAGCAAAAAAGAAAGGAAAACAAAAAAATTACTCTTCTATGGGTCCTGGAGGACAAGAACTGCTTTCAAACTATCTACCTGGAACCTTCAAAAAATGTTTGCTGATTGACTCATAGTCCGGCCACCTTACCCATGCCCTCCTCGAGCAGCAAACATCTCATGGAAAGGGAACTGGCGATGCAGGTCCTTCTCAATCACATCCAGCCACTTGGGGTCCCCAGGAGCCCGTTCTAGCTCCTACAGTGGAACAGCAGGAATCATCTCAGGTTCAGAAGGAACCGACATACCTTATATAGACAAGGCCCCTTACCCTGGAACATCACGCACCTCAAACCTGCCAGGATTTTGCTCCAGAAGTTCCTTGCTATTAGACAGGTACTGCCAGGCCTTGGCTCTGAGGGACGAGGGGATCCCCTTCCGGCAGCGCAGCTTCACCTAAGGCACAGCGGCAGCCAGGCAGGCAGTGTCAGGGGCTGGCGCGCCTCCAGGCTTTCCCCAGCAGTCCCTGGCTTCCTTGGGATGCTCTTTTCACGTGCCACACTGGACTCCCCTGGACTGGGGCCTAGGGGTCACCCAGTGTCAGTGTGGTCCAGAGGGGAGATCACATCCGTTCATCTCCTGAACCTGCCTGGAGCACATACACCTCCCTCCAACCTCAGACACTGCCCAGCCCACCGCCCTCGCAAACCTTCTGGAAACGCCGTGACAGCCACTTATCCCAGTTATTGAACATCTCCAGCCACTTGAGCTCCCGCTGCCGAGCCACATCCACTGGAATGGAGCTCTCTCTGCAGGACAGGGGAGCACAGAAAGGGTCAGGAGCAGCAGCATAAAACCTGGGTTGCCCAGGGCACTAAGTGAGACACCTTCCCAGGCTCAAAGGACAAAGTGGACATTTTGTGAATTTCGAAACATCAGAATGTCTTCCCTTGGCCAAGGCTCTTTTCAGCTCTATTCACCACCCTGAAAAGGCTTCCTTCCCTGCTGGATCTCAAAGCAGAGGCCATGTTCAAGTCCCACTTCTGACGCTGACGCATCCAGATTTGAGTTTTAGTTTTTTGTTGTTGTTTTTGGTTTTGAGACAAGGTCTTGCTAAATACTTTAGGCTGGCCTTCAACTCACTATGTAGCCCAGGCTGGCCTCACACTCACAGCGATCCTCCTGCCTCAGCTTCCCAAGTGGTGGGATTACAGGTGTGCACTAACATACCCAGCTGACACATCCAAATTCGGGAAGCAAGTACAGATAATTTAAAAGCCACATTTTTGCCAGGCGTGGTAGTGCACACCTAAAATCCCAGCACTCAGGAGGCTGAGGCAGGAGGATTGCCCGAAGTTCAAGGCCAGTTTAGGCTCTATAGTGACATCAAGGCCAGCCTACACTACATAGCAAGCCACACTTTGCACTAGACCTAGATCAAAGTCCTAACTTAACCATTTAGTCACTGTTCAAACTTGGACAAGTCACTGAATTTTGCTAAGCCTCAATTCCCTCATTTGTAAAGTGGAAAAAATGACACTGTCTACTTCAACACATATGTCAAGGAGTGATATTGAAGACACATAAGGGCTGGGGACTTAGCTCAGTGGTACCACACCTGCCTCGCAAGCACAAGGTCCTGAGTTTGATCCCTGATACAGCAAGAAAAAAAAAAAAAAAGGAGATCAGTAAATAATAGTATTATCCATAAAATAAAATACAGAACAAATGTACTTCTCTGTCTCCTTAGAAGCAGCTGAGATACTGTGGGCCAGCTGGGATTACTTCTACCACCTCCTCCCTGAAATCTCCCTACATTTGCAGAAAAAGTTCTTGCCCAGTTTGCCCACCATTCTGTCAGAGGTTCACACTCACAAGTGCCCATCTGTCTTGAAACAGTTACTTGAAGGAGCCAGCATCAAAAAGCATGTAAAATGGAAGAGCCTGGGTTTAGACATCAGAAAGATCTAAGCTTAAATCCCTGTTATGTCTCTTAAAAGCTGGGGTATCTTAGCAAGTGTGAACTCACCTATAAGATGGGATAACATCACCAATAGTTATGAGGACTTCTGAGAAAATGTATATAAAGGACTGTTAAATAGAAGAGGTTCATTAAATGTTTAGTTTCATTTGTCTTAAAAGCTCTTGAACAAAGATACCATCTCTAATTAATCTCTATTATAAGTCAATTTCAAATTCTTAAAGGCTGAGAAGGCTAAGATTCCTTCCTCTCCCACCCTCAAGCACCGTCACAACCTATGAGGGGAAGTAACTGCAACCTGGCACAGGAAATCCAATGACAAAGATGCACAGAAGTCTGGGCAAGGTGGCACATGCCCTTAATTCCAGCACTTGAGAGGCTGAGACAGGAGTATTCTCACGGAATTCAAGGCCAGCCAGGGCCACACAGTGAGTTCAAGCTCAGCATGAACTGTATAGGGCAGTGATGGCAAACCTTTTAGAGCTTTCAATGATAACAGCCACACATGTACCACAGGTTTGTCACCACTGATACAGGAAGACTGTTGTCTCCAAAAAAAAAAAAAAAAAAAAGATGCACAGAAGAGGCATATTATTGGAGTGGAGGCAGTGCAGGGTCAGAGAAGGCTTCCTGGAAGAGGGAATATTACAGGCAAAACATAAGGACAGAGTAGAAATTAGCAGGCAAAGAAAAGGGAGGAGTGCATTCCTGGCAGGTGGCATAGGCCTGAATACGAAAGGACAGCAAACTACAACTAGTTCAGCAGAAAACAGTACAGAGTGTCCGACGACAAATGGCAGGAAATGAGACAGAGAGGCTGGCATAGCTGGACAATAACGACCCTGTGCGCAATCTAATGTGCTTGGACTTTGCCCTGCAGACAACAGGGAGCTGCAAAAAGTCACAGTCAGCCTTGCCGAAACACAAGATGACTCTGGGATGGAAGACAGATTTTAGTGACAAAATTACAAAGTAGAGAAAGAGCACCCAGCACAGTGCCTGGGCACGTAAGAAGGCCTCTCTAAAACCTAGTTCAAGCCAAGTTCTTAGGGAAGTCTGGTACTGAGGAAAGAGCTATTGGCCACACACTTCCAGATTATCTGAGGGAGGCAATTCACCCACCTGTTGCTTCATCTATAAACTGAGTACAACATAACATGGGAAAGGCCCAGAAAGGCACCTGGGTCAAGCGGGGTTCCTTCCCCACATCAGACTGGAATGCTCGTGCTCAATCAAAAGATCTGAGTTGGGCATAGCTGCACACACTGGTAAGCCTGGCACTCTGGAAGGCTAAGTTGGGGATCCCAAGCTCCAGCCTTACCTAAGCAAGACCCTGTCTCAAAAAATTAAAAAGGGCTGCAGATGTATCTCAGTGTGAAAGTCCCAGATTCAATCCCCAGTACCACAAAAATAAAAGTTTTCTGAGTCTTGTCAGCTTATAAACTCTGCATGTAATACCCTCACCCCAATACACAGCCATGGCTAAATCCCTTCATTCCTCAAAATTTAGATCAACTTCAGCTGAACTGCCACACTAGACTAAAGGTCCCTTTTCCAGGTCCTCACAAAGCCCTGTGATGATGGCCTGGCTAAATCTGATGCTGCACTAAAACCAACTGTGAAGTATCCGTGTACCCCTCCGGATGAACTGCTTGAAGGGTTACTTTATCCTTATTAGGCACTCCAGGCCTGGCACCGGTGTGCTCAGGCAGGTTAAGGGGACACAGAACAACACCAGGATCCAGAGACGGAAGGAAGAAGGCAGAGGTGATCACACCCCCCCCAGGAGTGACTCAGGCCCCTGGAGGGAACTAGGAAAGAGTAAGCTGGGCTGGGGAGATGGGGAAATGGGGAAGCAGCCTCCCCCACCCTCTTTCCTCCAGTGAAAACGCAAGACTGCCCGCTTTCACGGAGGGGTCCCGCCTTTGAGGCCTCCTCACCAGACCTGCCCACTGTACTGCTGCAGCGGACCTCCCACTGCGTGAGGGAGGGTGCCAGCCCCTCTCCAGAAGCCCTGCCCAATCAACCTGCAGCCGGGAGTTTAGTATCAGGAGTTGGGATGACCTTAGGTATCATCTCATTCAACCCGGTACGAAGGAGAAACTGAGGCACGAAAACGGGGTCACCACGAGCTCAAGGACACACAATGCACCAAAGGCAAGGTCTCAGGCTCGCACCCAGATATCCGGATGAAATCCCAGGATGCTACAGGCCACGGCTCCCACCAATCACCCTCCTCGCCGGGCCGCCAGGGTACTCACAGGCTGCCCGAGTACTGGCTGCCCCCCAGGAAGCCGTACTTGTCCGTCTTGCGCAGGGCCAGCCCGTTTATCTCCGAGTCTGAGCCCATGGAGCTCACATCGTCCGCCAAGGACTCCAAGGTTCCAGACATGAGACTCACGGAGTCCAAGTAGCTCAGCGTGTCGGGGGCCTGCCCGCGAGGCCCGGAGATGCCAGGGCCCAGGCTGGACGTGGAGCCCAGGTCTTGGGAGTTCTCAGCGGGCTCCGGGGCTGGGGTCACCGTCACGACAGTCACCGGAGCCTCACTCAGGCGCGCGGGGTCCTCGGGCACCGGTGCCTGCGCCG